TAGTACGATCTAAAATAAGACTAAATCGAACACGTTAATTTTAATTTATATACTTGATGGCACAAAAATCGCTCGATATGGCACAGAATTCGTGGGTTGTATTATCGGTACAGGAAGTTTAATCCTTGGAATTGCACATTCGCATGCACATGTTATATATATCATACGCTTGAAAGTATACGTAAATCATAAGAGTGTAAACCAACCGAGGAGGATGGCAAGGTATATATATACGTACACCGACAATATTTATAACGACACAACCAATTACTGTGTATGACATGCGAGAGTAACCCGATCCATCAAATTTAATTTTCATGTACTGTACGCATATAGGTTACCTGTATATTTCTATTACCGGTGGTACCGAGATGATAATTCACGTCGTTGAACCGCAACGAGTATTAGGTACATGGAAGATTTCGATAAAAAAACACCGTGAAACAATCATCCAATGATCCACGAAAAATGAAAAAAAAAAAAAAAAAAAACAAGGTAACCCGAAAAGCACCGCAATAAGAGAGGAAGAAACGGACACGGGAGAGAAAGGGAGGTTTTTTCAATCCCTCGCTTGGTTTAAAATTCGCTACCTACAGCGCCAACGTAAGGACTGTGCCAGCGGGGCAGGGAGCTGGTCGCCAAGCCGTTAGACTGGCCGACAAAGTCAGCAGCAGCAGCACCTGCCGGTAACCGGGCGTAGCCATAGCAGGGGGACGGGGTCCCGGGTCCCAGGAGCTCGGGGGACGAGGACCTGGCGCTACAGCTGTCGAACGACGAGGAGGAGGAAGTTGGGGCACAAGAAGACTGTGGTTGTTGTTGTTGTGGTGTCGTGCGCGTGGCAGACTGGTCGTCCAGGCTGCTGTTGCTGCTGCTCCGGCCGCTACTCACGTTGCTCGCTGCCTCGACGAGACTGGCAAAAAGCTCCGAGCGCGAAAACTTGCCGATCTCCGTTGAACCGAACGCCTGCTGGAAACCCGGCAGTGGCTGCCTCGGCGCGCAGTTGCCACTGGTGCTCCTGGCCGTGTGCACGGGGCTTGCCGTCGCGGTCGCCGTCCGGGGCCGCTGGTGGTCCGGTGACTCTGCCGAACGGGAGTTTGGCTCCTCGGGACCGCAGCTCTTCACCTGGAATGCAAGACGTGGCATGGACTTATCCATACGTTGGAGATACGGATGAGGTGCGCGTCAACAACGCCGAAAATCAATACTCGGGACGCAAAAGCGTGTGCGTGTAGGTATAGGGCTCGCAGAGACAAAAAGAGAGAGAGAGAAAGAGTAAAGTGGTCTCGTGCGTGCCGCGAGGACGATTTTTCGCAACAATGTTTCCGTGCGCGCGTTCGCCTTTTTCCACGATCGATGTTGCGAAAGAGCCTCACCGTGTTTGGCACGCGGATACACAAGCGGGGGATCTTGAAATGTTTGGTGATTCGAGAGGTCGCGTGGTTTTTTTTTTTTTTTTTTTTTTTTTTTTCGAGTTGACCGGGGGAGAGAGAAAAAAAACAAAGCACCTGCGCCTCCTCCCGAGGAAACGACGGGTTCAGCCGTGGAGTGAGGCCGTCTTGCATCTTAGCCTCGTAGGAGCAGTTTGGCCGCACATCGGCCGACGGGTAGTTGCAGTGTTGCTGCTGTTGTAGGAAGACCATGTGTCTGTTGCTCGCGCTCTGGCTCGCGGCTTTACGGAGGAAAGGTAAACGTGATAAAAAAAAATATAT